GTCCCCCAAATGTAACAACTTATGTGTCGTTAGGTATATACATCTAAGATAGGTAGCAAGACTATCATTTTAAAATTGTAGAGCAATTAGTCATTTTCAAGTGTGCACATCCCCTAAACACTTAAATTTTAAAATCTAATATGACTATCTAATTCACATTTATCTTTTAATTTCTAAGGAAGAGGAGGTAAAAGCTTACTCAGTGGTTTTCTCAGGTTAATGTGATGTCTAGTGTTCAAAGTGGTTAAATAAAAACTGAACTGCTCTAGTGCTTGTGGAGCTTATATTAACATATAACCCGATATCACCCTAACGGGATGCAGCCGAAACGCTGGATGGAGGGGGAAATTATTGCATTGTAATTCACTGCCGATCCCGCCAGGCAACTGCATCCCGAATCCCAGCCACACTCAGCCGGTCCATTTTCAAAGTCAAGAGGTTTCCGTTTTCAAAAAAGGGCCGACTGAGCCCAACTGGTACCTGGAATGCAATCGCATAGCAGAATCGGCTGCAGATTGCAGTGCAATAATTCCTGCCGCCATCCAGCGTCCCGGCTGCATCCCGTTAGGGTGATGTCGGGTTTTATGTTAATGCGATAATCTCCTAAGCTCCCTACGCCTAGTGTTTTGCCTGGCCTTAGCACTTCTGAAAGGTTGAGAAATGCAAAGCCGTCTTTCTATATTCTGTATTTCTTTACATATGCACTACATGGTACAGTAGAATTGTGGGAGACTGAAAACACAAGGCTTAGCTCCCAAGGGACGGTCTCGATTGAGTGATCTCATATTTTCATTTTATGTGTTCAGATAAAAGTAATAGTTTTAAAATTCTGTTGAGGGAGATGGTAGGAAGTTGTGATGTGTAAGCTCAGAAGCTAGACTTTACATCAAGTGACTGTAAAAAAGAAAGGAATCTGTCATATGAGTTTGTCCTGTGCCAGAATCATCTCTTCCTAGGGGGAAAAAATTACTTTGCTATTTCCCAACTCCAGCCTGTTTTTCTTGTCTTATTTGCCTCTCTTCTGTCAAGCACCTAAATATTTCTTAATTGAACCGCTCATCCTGCACTCCTCTCATAGCTGTTTAATAGATTATCTCATCTGTGCCAGCTTCAAATTTCAGATTAAAATTCCTTCATCCCGAAGGCAGCATTATCAGGTTGTTGGAGGCTGTTTTCAAACCTTGGTTTTGAATAGCAGCGGCTCTGCATTAATTTAACCACTAAGCTAATAAGTAGGTTTCGTTTTGTTATGCTAAGCTTTATTGCTTTTCTTTTGATCAGAATGGTGTTGTTGAGCAAAGCAGCAGACAAGGCATTCTTTGATGAGGGAATTAGTGCTCTATTCTTCCTCTATTATTCATAGCACAGTGGAATATGTAAGTACCTGAGGGTGTCAAAGGAGAGCAGGCTCTATTGCAAAGTGTTCGCCTTGTTTCTCTCAATAGCTGACTATGAGATGATAAACTGCTTAATACACTGCACTAATTGGATGAGAGCAAAAAGAGATGGGAATTAAGGCAAGGCAAAAAGAGAAAGTGCTACCAGCCTTCATTCACTCTTTCACCACTTTAGCAGCGCCAAAGGAGGCACAAGCTTTCTATAAGCAGACTGGAGGTTTTGTGCAGAGATAAAATGAACCTGTTAGTGGATTCAAGTAATACACTAATTATTGCACAGTATAAATACCACTACTGGTTTTATAACATGAAGGTAAACTTCTTTTGAGACGGTTATAGGATTGCTTGGCAGTAGTATAGATCCTAATAAGGGACCAGAGTAATAACCCCCCTGGATTATCAAAATTGCTGCTTGCAGAAGTATGATTCTGGCTCTACAAAGATTTCTGCAGAATGAATAAAAAAGACTGAGTGACATTTCTTAATGCGTAATGGATTGATAATGATTCCCTTTTCTTTAAAGTAAAATATGTACTTCAAACTCTACTGTTAATCATGTCCATAGGCAACTGTTCTCTTTTTCTCCCCATCAAAAAATTGCACCTATGGTGGTGGTGGGGGGGGAGTTATACTCCAAAATATATATATATGTGAGCATAAGATGCTGTCAGTTAAATGTATGGTTATTTGGAAGAACTGCCGTTTGTTCATAAAAACAAACACGCCGGAGAGCCCACTGTGTGTGAATGTGAACTCTGAAGGGAGGAAAATCCACCTGAACATTATTTGCCATCCTCTCCACAGAGGGCTCCCAACAGAACCATTGCATTGCAAATCCTCTTTGCAACATCAGCCCCAAATGCCTTTTATGTTGGATACCTTTATTACACACTATTCTAGGTTACATACAGCAGGTGCAATTTGTGGCTGCTGTTGTGTGCCTTCCAGTCCTTTCTGACCCCACAGTTGTGGAGTGACACTTCACCTCTGCTTTTGGTGGCTTTGCCAACGTGGCTGAGCAG